TTGAAGTTGAATTTCGCGCAAAAGAAAATACATTCTGCGCATATGAATGTACAAACGCGCTATTGATTGTCCATTGATGCCTATGAATGTACACGCATATTCAAATATCGTTATTGAAAGTTGATCCGCGCTAATGATGTTACTTGTGGTGTTGATGAAAGTACATTACACGTTATTGATACAACTATTGGCACAAATGAATGTACATTTTCTCTTAATGAACAGCAAAAGGTGTAGTAATGAATCTCATCCCAGACCTAAAAGATAATCAGAGGAGTGGATTTTTGGACTGACCGTTCAAACACCTATGAACTCACCCAAGACTAGTGATAGTGACTGCTGTATACCACAACGTTTCAGGAATACTCGAGAAGGGGGTTTCACTGCTCGTTTGTTCCACAAAGAAAATCACAGTCGAAAACACAGTCAGCAACATGAATAATCCAAACAAGATAAAGAAAACTTCAGTGGAAGACCCGGCTTCATTTTCGGTCATGGATACTATAATTGCTCTTATTCGCTCGGACCTTTTGGCAAGTTTAATGATACGGAATACTCTAAATAGCCTAAGGATTGCCATGAATGAATAATCCTTGTGAATACCGAAAAAATATCTCAGAATTAAAGTTAGATAAAATGGAACTAACGCCAGGACATCAATGACGCTAAGAAACCTCCGAAGAAACTTGAATCTTTCGGGAGCGCTCCATAATTTGATGAGGTAGTCTGCGGTGAAGATGGCGACACATATAGTTTCGGCGATAAAAAAGTAATCTGGATAAGCATCACCGCATTTCATATTAACCTTACATGATACTGTTTCTACGGCTATGATAACTGCACTCATAACCGTCAGAAAATGAATTAAACAGGAATATACCGATGCTGCTAAAGATGAGTCTTCCTGGTTTGTGAACTCCCATAATTTACTGCGACAAGATCGTTGGACATCAAAGGATTCTGTTGTTGAACATAGCAGCTGATTCTGGTCCTTTGCGTGGTGTTTCTCAATTAATTGCTTAATATTGGTCCCGTATTCTTCTTCACAGCACGTATCAGGGAATATATCTTCAGTTGGGATATTAAAAAACGCCAGTTCATCAAGTAGTCCACTGAAGCACTCCTCATATGACACATGCAATCGCCCGGTCTTACAGTATTCCACGATGTACTTAAACGCGTCCGGATCGCGGTCAAAAAAGTGTTCTCTCTTGTCTTTATCGTAGAACATCCCTATCGTGTAACTAGAGAGAACAGAGTTAGGAAACTTGTCGAAAAGTCCTTCCCTTACGATGAACTTCCTTCCGCCAACATTGATAATAATTCTCTTACAAGATGGTTTGCCATTGTTGCCGAAGACGTTCCCCCAACGCGTTGTCGTTCGGCTTGTGGTTTTCAAACCGTGGCTCACACAAACCGATTTCCCCGAAGAAACTGGAGTAAATGTTTTCACAAAATTAATTGAAGGTGGCTGCATTCTTTGGATATAAACAGGACGTGTTCCGTCGTTAAAAACCATAAGTCAGTTGCAAGGTAGTACCAGCATATGTTCGTAATTCTTAGAATTACCGAAGACATTAGATTGAAATTACAGCCTTCGTTGTTGCCAGTTGGATAATCATACGGTGAATAAAGCCAAAAACGAATTCCTCTTCCTAATTTGATTGTGTTATTGTTATTCCAACTAATGACATCTAAGTCGATCCCTCTTGTCAATGATGTGTGAGAAACAGCTGAAATAGTAAAAGCGTTCCCAATTTCTCACCAAACATATTCTTTCACTTCATTTTAGAGAAGAATTTTAAACGATTCGTGCTCCTCTACCCATCGTCACTTTATTATCTATCCAAGTACTTTTCTTTTTGTCTAGTTTTGTCCTAAATGCAAGAGTTCAGTAAGACTGACGTCAATGGAAAAGATTTTTTTAAATTCGTGTTTTTAATATTTAATGGTAATGAACAGGTGTTTCAAAAGAATGAAAAATTCACTAGAACGGGAATAGAAAAGATAAAGGTTCACTAAAAATAAAACCTAAAAATTAAGTCTTAGGGCGGCTTCTTTGAGTTAATGATTACACTTTGTTATGGGGTAATGGTCATATTAACTAAAATTGCTTAAATTAAAGTAGTTCTAATAAATATAAGAATATTAAAAAAATCGTGAAACTAAAAGTAAAGACGCACATATTGTTTTAATTCCCCAAAGGATTGCGTGGAATCTTCGAACCTATCTGTGTTCTTTAACTCAAGGAGCCATAAGAATTTGGTATGAACTTAGTGTATAGCGAATCAAGAAAAAATAGGAAAACAAAGAGGTTCCTAAGGAATATTTCAGTGAAGTGTCGTAGGATACATCGCATTCACACTGAGTGCACAAAAGTTTTAAAACGAGAGTCAATTGTAATTGAGTACACCTTTTGCTGTTCATTAACCGCAAAGGAATATTCATTCAAGCGAAAAAGCATTATCATTAGCGCGAAGAGGCACACAATAACGCG